TTCCACGTCATCCCTGTCAGAATGGCTATCATCAAGAATACAAAAAAAACAAGAAATGCTGGAAGTGATGGAGGGGAGAGGAACCCTTTTCTACCCTGTTAGTGAGAATATAAACTAGCACAACCACAAGGGAAATCTGTATGGAAGTTCCTCAAAAACTAAACAGTGATAAGATTTGATCCAGATATACTATTCCTTGATATATTCACTGCATAGCCATGTTTATTGTGGTACAGTTCACAATAGCTAGGCTGTGGAAATCTCTAGACACCTGTCAACAGATGACTGGATAAAGAAAAAGTGGTGTACCTATACACAGTGGAATATTGTTCAGCCATAAAAAATGAAGTCATTCCATTTACAGGAAAATGGATAGAACTGGAGATCATCATGTTGAGCAAAATAAGTCAGACTCAGAAAGTTAAACAATCACATAATTTTTTTTATGTGAGGAATCTTACAGAAAAAAAGAGATGACGGAAAAGTAGAGGTAGACTATTAGAGACGAGGAAGGGGACTCAGGGAAGAAGGGAGAGAAGGAGGAGAGGATGAAAATAAAGTATGTTCTGTGCATATACTGGTATACCAAAATGAAGCTCATTACTCTGTATTACTAGTATGCACCAAAAAAATGTACTTATTGATAAAATAGTAGTTATAAGACTACTGTATCTTTCTCAACCCCTATTTGTTTGGAATTCATAGTAATTCAGGTTCAGATAATGAAAGTAGCCTTTTCAGTATATATGGAAAGGGGATTGAGAGAATATTAATAAACAGATGAAATTGCACGTGGGGTGATTAACATTCTTTTAAAGAATTATTCCCAAGCCGTCTACAAGCAGCCTTGTGACATAGAGGCACGCTAATGACAAATGTTCCTTCTCTCTTCAGCAAGGTTGGAAGCCCTCTGCCAGCCTTGATCAGGAAAAATGAGGCTCTTCTAACAAGAAGTCTGCAAGGTTAAGTTCTGGTGCATGTACCAAAAGTGTGGGCAGCCACATAGTTTGCCAATGGCACAAGTGACAACAATAAAGTGGACCAGTTACAAATGATGGCAAATAACAAATGTTTATATGATGCTTTGCCATTCCCCAAAGGCATTTAGCAAGATTGTAGGATTCTGTACACTTGGTAAACATGTCTGAAGGCCTTCAGTGTTCTGGGCCCTGCAAGCTTAGCTGTGAAAGTTTGCTTTTTCACTAAGCTTTATCTGAGCTACAAAACAACCTGCTGAAATAAGTAGGTCAAGAACATTTCTTCTTTGCAGATGAAGACATTCTCAAGCTTAGTTAAAGCTTTGATTTAAATTATTGCTTTTCTAGGAACTTGGACCTCGAAATTTTATCACTGATTGTTCTATTTTCTTTCTCAAAACTTCAAAACTTAGTGCCTTAGTACATACTGTACCTTGAAATAGTGTCTTCATAAATATAATGAGTTTCCACAGTTGAAACTTTTGCATTTAAAAATTCTTCCCAGCGCTCGGACTAATAGCTATGCTCAAAAGGATTATTTTACCCGAGGAACACCCCGGTTTACAACTGGTTCCCCCAAACTTGCTGTTCTGTGAACCTGGTCAGTTATTTACTGCCCAAAAAATGACTGGGATATCAGACTGTATCCGCTTTAAAATTTTTCATAACCAAAAAACTAAATTAACTGCCTTTATTTTAAGCCCTGTTTTTAAAATCTAACTTTGTCATTTGCACTGACTCATACAACTATCAGAAATTACAGAGGTTTTATTTTTTTTCTGTGTTTAAGACATAGCTTATCAATGGAAAATAGTTCCTCTGACTTCTAAAAATGTATAGAAGCCGTGTATGAACTCTCTTTGGCATAAATGGTTCTAAGTGAGGTAATAGGTTTCTTCACTGAGGTAATGAATTTTGTAAAATAAAATAAGTATGGCGCCAGATCCTGTCTTTCCTCCCTAACTCTAATTATGATCTGTGACTGTGGGAAGATCCATTTGCATAACAGCATGCTGAGTGGGAATGGTCCTGGGGGCAGGAAGTACCACACGCTCTACAGAGAAAGCTACCAGCAGTAGAGCCAGACCCCTGTTCAGGGTTTGCCAAGAGGTAGTGAGTCCTGTCCTGCCGTGGTCAGCCACCTGTCCACCATGTGCAGAGGACCAGCTGGTGCTGGGGAAGGGTAGAGAGTTGTCTGGGTCCCCAAGGAAAGGACTGGATTTTGTCCCCACAGCAAGCCGTCCATATGACAGAGGGCTGGACAGCCAGGGGGCAGGTTTGGGTGGACACACTGTGGTAACTGGAGAGAGATGCTGAATTTCTGGCGAACGTCCCTGGGGGTATGGCAGTGGAGGAAACTTTTAATCAGGGATAGGCTTTCTTTTCCATAGTTCATTTGCTGATGGTACTAGTCCTTGCTGGGTTTCTCAACCTGGTGCCTGCCAGGAGGAGAAAGCAGCATCTCTCTCAGTGGCTGGACTTCTGGCAGATGAGTGGCCATAGCACCTACTCAGCCTACAAAGACTTGGAAAGAGAAGTCCTAGCAGATGGGGGGCTTGCTGGCAGAGCAGCCTGCCCTTCCACAGTCCTGCATGACTACGATGCACACAGGTCAGGTTGGGTTGCTTGGGCACACAGCAGGAGGCTGGAGTGGCTCTCCTTCCTCCCCTGCAGAGAGAATTCCACCACACCTGACAAGGCACCCCTCTCCTTCTCCCCTGCCCTCCTTCACCAGCTCTCCATGGGAAGGAGGAAGAGATGGTTGGGGGACATCCCGGAAGGGGCTGAGCCACCCCACCTTCATCCTCTTAGGCGAAGACAAAGTGCACCTCTGCCTCTCTCACCACCTTGGGTGTCTGAAGCCGCACAACTGGCCCAAGATGAGGAAGGAGAAAGTCAGAATCAGATCTGAGCTGGGTTTTATACAAATGGATTCTTTGTGACTCAGAGAAGCCAAAGTCAACCCAAAATGCTAGGTGGTCTGGGCCCATCAAGGTGAGAGACTGCATGGCCCATTTAAGAGGAATGCCTGGAAAACAGTAAAACATTTCGGTGTTTGGACCTGTGTGGAGTTGAAACTTCCATCCTGTAGCTCCACGTGGACAGACTTGTTTCAGGCCCAGTAAAACAAGCTCCCTATAACTAGAGCTTCCCTTTGCCTTTTGGTAAAGTTGGTGCCAACTTGTACTCCTCCCAGCCATCCCAGCCAGCTGAAACCTGTGCCTCTTCCCTCTGTGGCCTGAGCAAGCCGTGGAACCTCTCCAACCGTTGCTTTTCTCATCTGCCAGGTGGCAGGTGATCTGTGAGTTACTGTTTGCACTAGAAGGATGTGAAGGGCCTAGAAGCTGGGGTGCAGAGGAATTAGCTCAGGAATCTGGGTGACTGTGCTGAAAGGGTCCAGGGTACCCTAGCAATACAATTAGTGCTGCTTAAGTTGGCGATCCGACCAAGCATAGTTAGCACAGTCAGCCCTCTGGGTCTTGGGTTTTGCATCCGTGGATTCAACCCACTGCAAGTTAAAAACACTTGAAAAAATTCTCTTTGTACTGAACATGTGCACACTGTTTTTCCTTGTCATTGGTCCCTTTAAAAATACAGTCTTTATATAGTATTGATCTTAGAAGTAATCTAGAGATGACTTAAAATATACCTGACAGTGCACACAGGTTATATGCAAATACTGTCCCATTTTATAGAGGGGACTTGAGCATTCTTAGATTTTGGTGTCAGCAGAGGGTTCTTGACTTGCTACAGAATTAGTTTCTGAAAGGTAGGAAGATCAAGGTCCTCTTGTGGGGAAAATAGCATGAAGTTTAGAGAGGGGTTGGAAGGCAGCAGAGTGGGTTGAAGTGGGAGGTGGTTGGAGGTGCCCTTTGGTCAGACCCCAGGATCCAACTTCTTTATGAGGGGCAGTTACCAGGCAGTCTGTCCACAGCACAGCATCCAGACAGAGCACTGGGCAGCAAGGGGCAGGTTCGGGTGGACACGCTGTGCTAACTGGAGAGAGATGCTGAATTGGGGCAGAGGGGACCTTTAACCAGGGACAGGCTTGGTTTTCCATAGTGTGTTTGCTGGGTTTCTGAGCCGTATTGTGAGTATGTGCTTATGATCTTTGTCCATCCACTTGTGTATTCTGAGGATGGGTTGCTCACAGTGCTTGCTGAGTGAATTTCGCCGCTCTGCCATTTTCTGTGATTCAATTTCAAGGTGTCTTTAAGAATAACACCATTCAGGAAAAGAACTCGGGAAAGGTCAGACCAAAAGCCCATCGAGTTATTTGGTGGTTTCTGCTTATACTCCCAGGAAGGAACGTTGGTTAATTGGGCATTAACTGGAGCAAACATTACTGCCTTATTGCTCATGGTGGAGAGCGTGAACTATGGAGCTGACTCATTAAACCCCAGACGCTGTGGTCCCTCACCCCCAGCCCCGACCTCTGCCTGCCGCCACCTCCTTCCCCAGCTGATTAGCCACAGTTTGCCCTTGAGAACTCCAGAGGCATAAACATCTTTTAGGCTCACCAAGTGGAGCAATAACTAAATCAGGAAAGTTATTCATATTGTATTGATTGTTCTTGGTCATTGAAGATAAGAAAATTATAATGTGTGACCTGTTTTAAAGATTTTTTTCCCATCTTTCTTGAACCTAATGAAATATTTTACTAACTATTACTCTGAAAGTAACATGAAGAAGGAAAAAGCATTGCTCGTCTTTATGGCTAATGTAAAACATACAGTCGTTTGCTTTTCCTGAGATGTGAATTTATTGGTAACTTCCCTTGATGTAACACTAATGAATATATCCTCTTTTTTCCCTCAGCTGATCCAAAATATTTTTAAGCAAAAGAAATGATTTGGAAGGCAATTATTAAACCACTGAGCCCTAAAACATTCTTTAAGTTTTTTACCTAAGAAATGTGATTCTTGTATTTTGTTATTTTCTTCCTTCCCTTCCTGGATGCTACCTTGGTAGCCATCATGTTTTAAATATTGACAAGATGAGATAGTTTTCTGTTTATATCAGCAGTCGTCTGTCTGTGAGATATGGACGAATCAGAACGCTGGATTTCCTTTCTCAGCAATCCATCAGGTTCATAATGTAAGGTTACAAATGGTTATTTTCTCTTCCTGAACTTGCGCTGTGTGGTGTGTTGCAGAGTGTTGTCAACAGCTGGAGGTACTGTGTCCTGGCAATGCAGAAAATTTGTAATGTCTAGTGACTCTGAGATTATTTTTTTTTTGTCTATTATACTTCATTTACTGTGCCTTGTGGCTAGCTGATGTGTAAACATTGTCCTAAAATGAGAAACATACTTGGTTCTATGATGAAAATCTGTCCCATGTGAGTTTTGGCTTTCATTCCAGGCATCTGTGTTAACTTGCTTTTGCAGGAAAGAGGAAAAGGGTAAATTGATATATATATATATGTACATGTATATATCAGTGTTGTTCTTGCCCATTTTGTATTTCCCCATGTCCATGGGCTAGTCAACCCTTTGTGTCCAATGGTTTTCCACAACTCATGTGCTTCACTTGTGAGAAATATTTGAGTATGGTTTGCATGATATTCCATGTACATTTTATGCAGATATGGGAGGAGGAGAACCTGGGAGAGGCACTATTACAGCTACAAGGTGGTTCTCAGCCTTTTTCCATTTGACAGTACTGAATTGATCTTCAGAATGTACATGAAATTGTGACCCATTTTACTCTGAGCTGCTTAATATTTAAATATTCATATTTCACCTTTGCATTCTTTAGAAAAATTTTCTGGGCACAGTGATGCACACACCTGTAATCCCAGCACTCGGGAGACTGAGGCAGGAGGGTTCCTGCAAGTTTGAGGCCAGCCTGGGCTACATCATGAGTTCAAAGCCAGCCTGAACTAATAGCAAGACTCTGTCTCAAAAGAAAAATCATTTCTGTTCAGAAAGTAAACATTTTAATATAGTTTAAAGTTTTATATTTTAAAATACAATCCTATTTTCACATCCTGTGAAATTTTTCCCATTGGCTATCCTGCTGACTGAGAGGCTGAGATATTTGGTTGAGAATCACCGAGCAGGTTCCTCGGGCGGCATGCGCAGGGCCTCTTTGGGGTGCCATGTGAGTGAGGCACATGTGTCCTCTTGTGCATGGGACTTCTGGATCTTGGAGACCATGGTGTGTGTGCAGTGCCTGGGACTCTGCAGCTCCTCTTGAACTCATAGGGCACCCAAAGCTCTTCTGTGTCCAGAAGTGGCCATCTCTGCTCTTCATCTCAAAGAACAAATTCGGTCCAAACAACCACATTTGACCAAAGTAGCATTCTCTCTTCCTAAAGAATTTTCAAAAGAGCTACTGCAGAATCCTGATTTTATGTGTGTGTGAATGTTTATAGGAGACCTTCTCTTACATTCCTATACAAATATCTGTATTTATCTATCAGCTTAGAGTTACATGGACCATTCTTCAAAGCTTTAGAGATTACAGAGGATGAACATAATCACCTATATCCTATGTATGTTTGCATAGCCCATCTCTGAAATTTTCAGAATCATTGAAAGTAAAACTTTAAAGCAACAATTGTCATTTAAAATCATTTTTAGTTTTTCATTAAGTGTTCTTGCTGAAGAAAGACAGAATAATGTTTGTTAATAGTCAGATCTAAATTTACAAGAAGGTAGGCGAGATCAGTTCCTAGTAGAACTAGGATTTAAAAGCTTCTATTAAAAAATCAATTAAATCTTAATTTTAAAAAAATTGAAAAGAATAACACAAGGCTTGGAAAATACTCTATAAATGATAGAAAGCTGAGTCATGATCATGATTGTTAATTATACTGACATCCTTAGGAAATCTTTTTATAAAGAAAAAAATAAGAATATAGAGAATTTTTTCCCCTTGCATTCTAAAGAATATGTATAATAGTCAGTTTTCCTTCTGGGGAGAAGGCTACCCCATCTGATCTGTTGTGGGATTGTGGAATTTGCCTTAGGTGTCTAGTCACAGGGACCAGAAGACTGGCAGCTGTTTCCCACCTTTTGAAACAATGCTGAGTTTAAAAGCAGTGTTCTGGAATCTGCCATCCAATAAAATTTTGTCTACAGACTTTGTGAATTTCCCCTAAATTCATTTAATGGCTTTATACTTTTACGCGAGATAGTTAATGATGTCTAGTCCATGCTGTTTAATCGATGGCCTTTAGAGTATTTATAAAAAACGGAAAAAGCCTTAAGCCAGACATTGTTTTCAATGCCAAATAAATGCAGTTTTAAGCCATGACCAAATTCTTAGAATAGTGTTTATTGACATCCATTAAACTAAAGGAAAGATTTTCCCTAAGTATTTTAAGCTCTAAAGAAATAGCCTGAAGACACTTATAAAAAGTCTCTTGAATCATTTTAATTTCACTTCTATAATTACTGAAGGAAGCCTCCTAAAGGTCACTGTGTTGGTAATAATTTTTTTTTTTTTTACTGGTCCTGGGAATTGAACTCAGGACCTTGCACTTGCCAGGCAGGCGAGGCACCACTGAGCTACATCCCCGGCCCTGGTAATAGTTTCTAAAATGACAAAATTCTACCCCAAACATTTCCTATTTCACCTTGTTATTCTAGTTAAATATTATTGCATCATTGTTAACCCGGTTTAGGTCTACTTCTCATTAAAGATAAATTTGGATTATAAACCATTAGTAGAGGTGAAAGCTTCTCAGATCTGTTTGATTTTTATTTAATTTTTAATAAGCTTTTTAAAAGTGGAAATTATTAGAATTGCTTTAGAATGTTCTCCTGAGAAAATACAGATAACATATAGATGTGCATGTAATCTTCCAGGACTAACACAGAGCTTCACAGTTCAAAATTGTTTGATGTATGATTTATTTTTCAGTCTTTTCCACCACTTCTTATAATAACCCTTCTACCCAACTCCTGTATTGCTCATTTCTGCCGGAATTCCACCCCCAGGAGGTCTGAGGCCTAAGGCAGCCTGGCTCTCTGAACTCTTGTCTTTCCTAGCAGTCAACCAGGTAGAGCTGAATCCCAGCCATGAGCCAAAGTCACTCCTATCCTTAACAAGAGTGTGGTGTTAGGTCCAGCTGTTGGAATCTCTCCATTCCCATTGAATTAGTTCCAAAGAGAAAACGCAACATGTATACATATGTACACATTGAATGTGCTAATATTCCCAGATCTTAGATCTGAGATAGGGAGAGAGAGAGAGAGAGAGAGAGAGAGACATTAATGAATTTGAAGAAAAGAAATTTATTCTCTTATAAATTTACATAAAAACATTTTTCCCTCTGAAAATGAATTTCTGGAAGTAGCGCTGAATATGACAAAATCCATTGTCTATTTCCAGAAGGGTCCAACTCAGACCCTATAGGGAATTTTAAATATTTGGACTGGAGCAATATTTCAAGGCCACAAAGAAAATACAGTAAGGATTATACAGTTCCCTCTCATATAAGCATCTTCCCCCATAGCATTGAAGGGAGTTCCCATCAGACCATTCTGGATTCAAACTGGGTGGTTTGTGATTTTTGGACAAAGTAGAGTCATAGGAGAGCAGATAATGCTGCCATGTAAATAGGTAAACGGATGTGCCACCAGTTTCTTCAAGTGGTTATCAAATAAAGGGTCTCGATTTCCAAATGGATGGAAAGTGTACATGCTGGAGCTTGTTATTCCCCAAATGGCTGCTACGAATTCTGTGGATGATGTAAATACTTGCATCGGCATTTGGCTGTAGTTCTGCTTTAAGTGTATAGAACTCACATTAAAGTTTAATTATGAAAGTGCGTGAGTTAACTGAACAATTAGAGAATGAGTTTGCATATGATTTGCATGCTTAACATACTAACCTGTGAAATGTCCCCACACCCCCAGCTTCATGGCACCCACTTCCACCTGCCGCCCTAGTCCCAGCCCTCCCCTGCAGGCCCTGGTACTCCAGCCTCTACCATGTCTGCTCAGGCTTTCTGAAACCTGTCTTTGGGCTTGGCCGAGGTGTACCTCAGCTAAACCAGAATAGGGCTCCCATGAAGACCTGTTGCTTGGTTCGGTTGGCACTTCAGTGGACACTGGCTTAAAGGATCTTTTGATATCACCCAGATCCTCCTTTTGTATCATTCCCCACGGAGTTGCGTGCAAACTTCTGTTGTTCTGTCACCTGTGACTTAAGTGTACGATACCTGTTCGCTATGTTGTTGTTGCTTTGGGCAGGGTGGATAGTGGGGGAATTAGAGGATGATTTGCTACATTTGGGGAAAGCTTTTATTAAAAACTTCTAGCTGCAATATTTCCAGTGTTGTAAGCTATTATCCCTTAAAAATTATTACACTCAGCTTCAAAATAATAATGAAACCTACAGTCCTCCATTTTGAAGCTTATACTATTATATTAGGAGCAAATCACAGCCGATTGAAATAAAGACGAGAAAGATAATAAAGATACACTTGCAAGAGAAAGAAAATTTTAAAAATCAAAATTAGAAGCCAGAGAAAAACTTAATCCTGAAATTAATTGCAATTAGTTACTGCTGTCAAAAAGTAAAACTTTATATAAATATAAAGAGAAAAATTCAAATGTAAATCAGGGATAGATCTCAAAACAAAAATGCTAATGTTAATATTATAGGTAAAGTCTTAAGAATATCAACAGAGAGGGAATAGGAGGGTCAAGCAATATACAAGCAACTCAGCAACTGGAACAAAGCAAACACAGAGAGTAGTAGCTCAGAACCGAGAGAGAAGAGCTCGGGTTGGGACAGCTCAGGCTCCAGTGAGAAGCCACGGAGATAGCATCGTATGGTGTGGGCTCCTCCCTTAGCTTAGGCCCTCTAGTGTGCGAAAGAGCCGAGGTGTTCCTGACGGACTCCAGAGTTTTTCTTCTCTTTTTTTCAAAGCCAGTTAGAAATTTCCAGAAGGTGAGCCCTTTGCCTCCCACTTCTGTCTTTGGCAGCTGCCTTCTGTCCCACCCAATCTAAGACCCAGCTGCTTAGAGAAAATTGGAAGGCCCTTCCCTAGACATGCACCCTACTTGAGCCATCCTGGAAGCCTGTGGTCCCTAACCTTTTGCCTTTCTACATCCTTTCAAAAAACTTTAATGAAAGCTACAGACTTCCTTTCTCTCCCAAAACATATATTCCAGTTCTGCATTCTTGTCCCAGCCTCCTTGAAAATCTTCCTTAAGAATCCCCACAGTGTTTTTGGCCCTTTTCCCAATCCCTCTGTGGCATTGGTCTGTAGCCAAGGTTTTGGAGCCTCATGAAACCTCTTTACACTCTGCTAATGCCTGAGAAAAGTAATTTCTCATCATTCTATAAAGTAAAGCACACCAAATTCAGTTTAGAAGAGAGTGGCTTTGGAAATCTGCCTACCATGTAGTTTCAGTTATGTCCTGAGAACAAAGGACAGATTTTTGAAACATCAGAATCTTTACCAGGAAGAAGAGTAAGAAATGATCCGTGTGTGACATGTACACCAGGTTAGATCCCAGAAAGGACCTGTCAACACAGGGCTTCGACTTTATAAATGTTCATACTGCACCTTGACTGTAGGAAAACACATGGAGGCTAATGTCATGGAAAGTGATTAGTGAGATGATGGGATGCCCTTCTGGCTGGGGGTGTCTTAATGGGCCTTTATATCACATGCCAGACCATCACAGGCGAGTGCACTTGTATCTGTGTATCACGGTTCTCAGTATGCAACATGCACAGATGAGCCGACTTGGCATTGGCATCCAGGTTTCCTGAGGAAGGTAGCAATCACAGTGGCCCTTTGTCAATACACCTGAAATCAAATGAGAAAAACTAACATCACCCATTAGTAAAATTTTCCTTTAACATGTTATTTGGTATCATACTTACAGTACCTTTTCTCCAGAGCTATAAAATTATTCAAAGTACATGGTACATGTCATATGTGGAGACTGAATTTTATGAAACTATTCTACTGTAAAAGCAGTTTAAATTAAAAATTCCAATCAGGTTTAAAAACAGAAAATTCTCTCAAAGATGCTATGTTCTATTTTGTTGTAACAGAAAATTATGAATAATAAACCATTGATTTCTTCATGCCATATTTTAAAATTACTTAGCTTAGGGTATCACTCCTAAAGTAGAATAATTCAACTTTGAATTAATTCAGCTTTGAGAAATATGATGCTAATACACATAAAAATGTAATAACCAGTAGCAATATTTATGAACACATAATACACCTGAATGCATTTGCAGTTATAGCCCACCTGTACAAGACAAACACAGGCTAGCTGGGGGGAATGAACTCTGCCTGTGGCTCATATTGCTCCTAGAATAAATGTCATTTTCAGACAGGAGACTGGGGAGAGCCTTCTATCACCTTGCGACCTCCAAATGAAGCCACAGCCTCGACTCCAGTACAGTACTGGCAGCATCACCCAGAAAAGCTCATCTTCCAGTCGTGTGACTACAAGGCTTTTGTAAGTGGCTGTGGATCCAGTACTTGGGTACAAGTGGGGATGGAGGGCAGTGTTTCTGGGTTTTTTTGCATTTACAGTGAAAATGTGCCCAGATGTTCATCACTGCAATTCCTCAAGAGTCTTCTCCCTTCTCAATTTCTTACTGTAGCATTCTGTGCAAAGAAAGTCCGACTGACAAGAGTTTTATAACATCCAAGTCTTTAAGCTCATGATCTGTTTTGCCCTCTTACAGAGTTGTGTGCTTCAAAAGAGATGTGATAAAGCACAATGTAAAATAGAAATGAGGAGCTGATAGAGTACTTGCATAGCATGCAAAAAGCCCTGGGTACAATCTCCAGTGCTGCAAAAAATAAATAAGTAAAATAAAATGGAAATGAGTATAAATATAGCACATATATTCATCTTCACTCACCAATGATCTCAGAACATTGAGTCTACCGCTTTATGTAAATACCTAATTCTTTTCATTGTCATCTATAGGATTCTGTTACTGCTGTAGATTTTTTGGTTGTTGAGGATTTTTCTCAGTTCTTTTTAGAACAGAAGAAATAGTTATGCTTAGCTGAGAATTATGAGTAATCTGAACAGGTAAATGTTCAAAATGCTGTAGGCTTTGGGGCAGGTGGTGGTTGTCATGACTACAGCAGAAAAATGGCTGAACTCTTGGCAGTGCATGAAGCCTTCTCTCTTGAAACATTTCAATTAGGACAAAATTTCCTGATACCTTAAAAGATGAGAATTCCACCAAGATCATTTTCCTTAATTTGATTTAGATGTGGGCATTCTGGTTATCTTCTTGCAGTTGGGACTGTTTGGCCGCATTGTACTGTCCTCTTTTACTGCCTGCTTCTCTGGCAGTACTGGATTTCTTTCGACAGTAATCACTCAAAAGGGCTTACCTCCAAAGTTAAGACCTCAAATCCCTGAACCTTTCTGAACAGGCCTTTCTTCAGTGCCCTTGGCCAGGCCTTCTGCTCCTTACCAAGGCAGTGGCTTCCCGGGTCCACAGCGTTGATTCCCATCCCTGAGTCTGCACTTTATCAGGAGTCACCAGAGAAGTCCGGAAGTGTCCTTCCGACCACTCCAAAATGATTGTTTTATTCACTTTGTAAAAAGATATAGAGAAGTCTTTATTTATTGGGGAAGAGAATGATGATAAAAAGAAAGAAACCCGTTGAAGCTTCCAGAGGTTGAGGAGTTAAAAGGGCAACACAGGCGTTGTGCTCAAAACGATTTTCCCCCAGCCAGAAGCAGGAGAGCGAGTGGTGCTGTTTACCAAGGTGGCTTTGGACCCAGTCACCTAACAGGGACGGGGCTGGTAATTCCTGGGAGGAAACATCCCGATGCTTCCCTACTTCCATCCAGCCCTCCGGTGTGACTGTGACTATACCAGGGACTCAAGACGTTCTTCCTCCTCCACCTCCCCGCCAGCCCGATCTCAGGTGGATCAACCACAGGGCACACAGCTGTGGATGAAAAGAGTCCAGAACTGCATCTCTGCCTAAGAGCAGCCTAACGTTAATTACCTACGCCGCCGAATCAGCCCAAGTGGGGGACATGTTGCTTCGCTCCTCAGCTGTCTCATACAACCCTGTAATTACACAGATAGTAGTGTGGTTTATTTTTGCAGACATTACTGCCTCAAAAAAATAGGGGAAAACATTTTTAGATGCCCCGATCTTGCAGTTAAATATGATTTGAAAGATGGCATCTTTAGAAAATGCTGCAGTTTCATTATAGAGAGCAATTTACAGCCCTCAGAACTTATGGTTAATTGTGCTGCATTTGCTCTATAAATGCATTTATTGGTAAGGATTAGTGACTGTTAGTTTTATAAAGTTATTGACAACTTATAGCCAGGAAACCTAGCCAATAGTGCTTCCGCATTTGTTTTTAAATCGTGCCTGGTTTTTAGACTCTCCTTTTTATACATCATCCCTTTGTTTGTGTTTTAGTATTTAGGTTCTATGCTGATAAAAGAGCTCAGGGGTACAGAATCAACTCAAGATGCTTGTGCAAAAATGCGGGTAAGTTTGCCAAACTCGTTTATTTCTAGTAGCTGAAATACTAAATACTGGGTATAGATACAAATTGCCACCTTTCAAATCACTGTTTTCTTCATCTGTTGGTCTGGCTGAATCACACTGGTGTTATATAAAAAGGTGTTCTGGCTTTGTTCGTGTTCATACTTGGGCTTCTGTCACTGTAGTTCAATGTCTCTGGAATATTCTTATACCGTATAATATTTGCTCTTAATTATTTTTAAGAAACTGAAGTTAAGTGTATATCCATTGATCATTCTCCAGGTTAAGAGAAAAATTATTTTTAGTTTGTCTCAAGAAATTGTTTTAAGGGCCCAGGATTTAGCTCAGTGGTTCTGCCGCCTGCCTCCCAAGCGCAAGGACCCGAGTTCAATCCCCGGTACCAAAAAAAAAAGCAAAACAAAACAAAACAAAAAACAAGAAATTGTTTTAAGCACCCTCTTGACAGTCTGAGAATATTTATTGTAAAAACTGCAAATTAGCTAAAAATTGTCAAGTATTGGGAACATATTCTGTAAAACTAATATTCTTTATGTGACTTCTTTATCATTCTTTTTTTCTTTAAATAGAAGCAAAACATTCAGCTCTAAGTGAAATGAAACAGAAGGGCAGTAAATGTTGACCAAAATGGCCATTTCCACTGTCTGTGGTCAGGGGTTACTGGTTCCTGAATCTGTTGTAACCAACGCACACCTCACCTATACTATCAGCCCCATTTTCCTTTCCCAGGTCCTTTGTGCAGGATGCGCCAATAGGAGTTTAAGTCTTACTCAGAGTAACAACTAACCATGGTCAAATTTAAGAGAATGAACCCTAACTTTTATTTGTCTGACCCCTGGGCTCAGGCCTGTAGGCACTGTATTCCCTGGATTATCCTGAGCTTGCTCTCTTACTTTGAAAGTGACATTAGATTAGATGCTTTGTGGGGTTTTTCCTGGTCTTGTACTTCTGGGACTCTTGTATTCTAAATATGCACACATCTAAATTGTGTCATCACAGAGTGAGAAAATAGGAAAATTTTTCAATCATCAAGCCTCATAATGATTTCAGAGATATTCGTGAACATGTCTAAGAAATTAGTTTGACATCTGATTTAATGCTACTAACTAAATCATCTAAGTCCAGCTACTTCAGTGTTCTAATTGTCATAAATATTGTATTGTGCCTGTAGCATCATTTAAAATAAGCCAGATCTGTAATTTGAATTTCAATTTCTTGAAATTGAGTGGATCAGAAATTACATCCTGATAGCAAGAGCAAAGCTGTTTTAATAGTCTCAGTAGAGAATAATTTAGTTAAATACATGTCTATTGCTTAACATGAAACTTAGGAAAAGCTATCTATCTAGAGCTGTTCTTCCATTCTTTGGGGTATTTTTCTGATTTGCAGCCCTTGGTGTTTATTTTAGGTAGTTTACATGAAAATAGAAATTTGATTGCTTCTTAGAATATCATAAACCTTTATTTCCCATCTTCATTAACTAAATCTCAGTAGCGAATGCTGCATTCACTGCCTCTGCTGGAACCCTTCAAAGCCAGAAGCACGGATTTGATCTGTTATCCGGGATTTTTGTATTGTGAATTAGAACTTTCGCCAAATGGTGTAGATCTCAACTTGGAGTTAATTTTCTGAAGTTGCTGTTTTCTCTGCCTTCAACACAGTGGCATTTCAGCTGAAAGCACCTGTATAATCAAGTCCCCTCATGGGAAATAGTTCAGGACACAAGTATCCTAAAAGTTGATATACAGTGATATTATTAGGCCAGAGTAGCATAGATTAAAACCTTACCTGGTTTATTCTTTTATTTGATTTTAAAAAGAAAAAAGTTTTCACTTCCACAGTATGTACTTTAGCTGAAGACAAATTTTTTTCCCCAAAAAGAAGTAAATCAGTACGGCTCCTGATTTTGAGTAATGTTTTCTTAAATATTTTGTTAACAAAGATGACTAATTTTGGCTCCTGCTGTCACTGAGCTGAAGATCCTGTGAAGGAAAAGAATATATAGACTTTTACTGACCCCGAAGTGGTAGAAGTACCACCAAAGAGGTTTCTTCACCTTGCCATCAACCTAAGGGATCATCGTAGATGACCCCTTAAGTGACATGGAATCACAGTGTCCTAAAATCAGTTTCTTAGGACTAATAACAGTTAACACTTGTATGCCCAGCTCTGCATAAGAGAATTAGGCATATTGTGGCATTTAATCTGTGAGGCAGATACTTTATCTCTTAGCCAAAATGTTTGGAACTGGGACTGTTTCAGTTTTTAATTTATTTTTTTTTTAGATTTTACAATTTTTGCATATACATAAAAAGATATCTTGGAGATGGGACTCAAGTCTAAATACAGAACTCACTCATGTTTCATGTGCACCTTTACACACATAAGGTGCGGGTAATTTTACACCGTATTTTTAGTGTACCTGCATCTGGGCTGTGGAATTTTCCACTTGTGACATCGTGTCAGCGCTCAGAAAGTTTCAGGCTTTGGAGCATTTTAGATTTCAAGTTTTCAGATTAGGGGTGCTCAATCTGCATGGCTGTCAGCCCCATTTACGTATGGGGTACAAAGGCCAAGGGAAAGTACGTAACTTGCTCACTGTCTTACAACCAGGAAGTACAGAGGAAGGGTTTGAACGCAGGGTGACTCCGCCTCCCAACCTGTGAATCCCAGGCGAGACCATCTCTCTCCTGAGCAGTGGGACATATTGTCCTGAGTTTTCTTTGTTGTTGTTGTTTTGTACCGGGGATTGAACTCTGGTCATTGCGCTTGCGAGGCAGGTGGCAGAACCACTGAGCTAAGTCCCCGGCCCTGTCCTAAGTTTTAAAACCGCTGAAAAAGTGGGTAATTTTTGTTCTTAAGAAATAGATTTTGGAACCCTGAAATAGCTTATAAGATTAGCGCTGGATAAGATAAATTGAACCTGTTAAGTATGGAATATGTCTAGTAATATTGGATATATTCCAATGTGGTAACATACATAAGATTTTCAGAACAGTTCTTCTTGCATCCTTAGTGACTACAAGATATTTTCCCCACAATATTTACTTTAATACATTCATTTGTGCTCCAGTAAAAACCAAATACAATTTTCCCTTCTCCTTGACATCATTTGAAGTGTTTGATTTCACAATTAATTAATTTCTAAGTTTACCTATACCTGTTTATCAATCTCTAAAATCTTCTTCAGTTGCAAAACAAAGATAATTTTAATTTTCTGGTGTTTTCTTATACATAATATTTCAATTAAAAATATACCATAATAGGGGCCGGGGATTTAGCTCAGTGGTTCCACCACCTGCCTTGCAATCAGAAGGACCCGAATTTGATCCCCAGTTCCAAAAAAAAAAAATGCCATAATAAACTAACATGTTAGATGGTAACTTAAGTCATATCATTCTAGATCTAGCATTTCTCTCTTTGTGTGCTCAAATTAACCAGTCTTTTGTCCCCTTCAAGCTTTCTTAAGACTTTTTTTTTTAGTTAACAGGCTCTCTTTTTTCATAATCTTGATTTTTTTAGAGCAGTGTGGGGTTTATGAAAAATTGGGAGAAAGGCAGAGAACTGCGCTGAATACTCCCTGCCTTCACATGTCCAAATCCCCTCCATTGTCAACATCCTGTTCCAAAGCAGCATGTGTACTAACAGCTGATGAACCTGCATCGACTCGTGATAACCACTTGTGTTCCTGGTGTACACTAGGGCTCATGCTTGGTGTTAGAAAAGCTACAAGATTGGTAAGGGCCTGTATCCTCTATCATTATACAGTCATTCACTCCCCTAAAAGTCCTCTATTTTGCAGAGCAGTTTTAGGCTCACTGAAAAATTGAACACAAATTACAGAGTTCCTACAAACCCCCTCTACTGTTACCCACCCTCACAACTTACCGTTATTAACGTCATGCATTAGTGTGGTACATTTGTCACAATTATGAACCAACATTGACATATTATTAACTAAAGTCGGTGGTTTACATTACAGTTCATTCTTTGTGATATAGAGTACTTGGAGTTTTGACACACGCATAAAGTTGTGTATCCACCATTACAATTTGGTTGCTTCCAAGTTTGAGGAAGTATGATAGAGATGATACAAATATAAACATTTATACACAGGCGTTCACCTTAACATTTGTTTTCCTCCTGGATCCAATCTCTAAATAATGCCCCTCTTGATGTTATCTTCTAAATAGTGCTGAGTGAAGAAAAATCAACAGAGACCTGCATTCAACTCTGATAAGTTACTGAGTTGCAAACTCTGTTTTATCTTGTAGCGGTTTCCTTAACAAAAGCCTGCGATTACAAACGCTGCTATTGAGGCATCCATTTAGGTAGAATGATTTCTGTGAATCACTTCTCTCCTCCATAGTACAGCCTTGCTGCTTATTCCATTTACCTGGACAGCTTTAAAGACATCTCTATCTAAGATTAAAAACCTAAAAACATATATAACTAATATATACATATTAGCGAGTGTGAAGAGTGGTAAAAGGTATCTCTTCAATCTGAACATATTCATTTAGTTCTGCCTTTTATGTTCCTGGTTGGGTTTTCCAGCAAACTCCAGCTCGAAGACATAATCTTCACTTCTGAAACTATCCTCCAAGGAAGGATCAGCTCTGAGGTGCTGAATATGGATGCCCTTCCTACCCTGTTCCCCATGAAACATGGACCCTTCCTTCTATATCAACTCCTGGTTATTCATCTGCCTGCCCTTGAAAGCAGGGGTCATGAGTGTTATAGTGATTGAACAAAATAGTGTATCCAAAGTGCCTCGATCAGTAACATCTCCATCCATGTCGGCGTCTTCCGTTAAATGTTTGAAAAATGACTAAATTCATGGACATAGTTGCTTTGGATTTTTCCACTTGTTCTTCCCCAACTCTGAAGCCAGCATCCCACTCACTGCCCAGGTTCTCTGTATTTAGGGAATTGAAGATAGTATCTCAAGCCTAATGAATTCTATATTTTCATTTCCATTTTTT